CTGTATGCTGGGTATCGGAGATACAAAAATGAATAAGACCCTTTAAGGACTCACAATTTAGTGGATAATGTGAACAGTCGAATAGATAACACAGCATGTTATGGAAGGAAGGTTAGGATTTGAGAGGAGGTATGAGGACGGTTTTGTGTGTGTGCATGCATGTGCGTGTGTGCACCTGTCCAGCATGCATGCAATACCAGCATATTAGTTTGCTTTCTGTTGCTTACAACAAGAATACCCGAAACTGGGTAACTTATAAAGAAATGAAATTTATTTCTGACATTTTCGGAGGCTGGGAAGTCCACGGTCCAGGATGTGTATCTTGTGAGGGCCTTCTTCTGGGTGGGGACTCTCCGAGGGTCCTGTGGTGACACAGGCAATTACATGGTGAGGATCTCATGAGCAAGAGAGCTAACTTCATTGGTTAGAGAGCTAACCATATTGCTCTCCTTATAAATCCGTCAGAAACAAGCCCACGACAGCCCATTAAACCATCAACCCACAATCCATGAATGGATCAATCTGTACATGAGGGCATGGTATTCATGATCCAATCACATCTTCTACCATCATATCGGGGGTCAAGTTCCAACATGAGCTTGGGAGGGACATTCAAACCACAGCAGCCACAGAAGTGATAATCTGTATGAAGCTACTGTTTAATCCATATTTCAGCCTTCCTTACTATTTAGAATTTCATAATTCATAAAGTGAGCATATCTGACAATTTATTAACTTTAAATCTGTAGCATTTAATGGTGTTTATAGGAAACGATAGAACAGATAGCTATGGTGTAATAAGGAGCCAGCATCAGCTTAGGGTTTAATTTACAGATTAAATCAAATGTCTAGGGGAACAAAATATATCGTCTTCATACATTTTAGATCACCGTATTTTAACTTACTATGAATTAAATTTATTTTAATTGCTTATAGGCATTTGCTCGGCGTGCTTTGGCTAAAATTGAAGAGTTAAGGCAACTGGAATTAATGAGCTCCTCACAATCACTGGAAGAATCCATAAGATATTATAGAGAAGCCACAATTAAGGTATAACAATTTCATGAAATTAAAGAAATTAACTGCACTCTACAGTTGATTTAGTACTTAATATTAGTAGTTGAGAAGTGCATCCTATTGTTGCTTCATTTATAATTCCTCTTTTTGAGGCAGATAGCGGTGATGATCTTCAAAAGAGGAATATTTGAATCTAGAAGAAAAAGCAAATCTTGGTTTAGACCCAAGATAAGAGTTAACCTAAGGGAAGTACAAACTGTAAGTCTAAAAATGTTTTCTCTATTTCAGACTCTTTTTGCAGTGTATTTGTGTTATATTCCTGTGTCGTTTAAGCCTATCCACTAATTATTAAATCCTGCCCCCAATTCTCTGCACCAATGGGCAAATAGAGAGAAGAATGTTTTCCTAATTTGGTCATGGCCTCACTTCATCCCTTTCTCAAAGCTTTTATGCCTTAGCACAATCCCAGTTTTGTAACTTTAAGGGACAACAGGCTGAAGAAGAGCCTGGGAAAGTTCAAATGAACAGGCTCTTGCAAATGAACAGGGCTCTGAGTTAGCTCAGGGCAGGCCTTTGTCTTTGACCACTTAGTGTTAATGTAGCAGGCTTTGAGGTTGGAGAGAGAGTAGGGGCTCTTTTTCTCATCAGTCTTAAGTTTCACTTTTGGGAGTGTTCAGGAACCAGGTTATAATGTAGCACCAAACAACCCTCATACCTCAGGTGGCTTAAAACAAACATTTATTTCATATGTTGTTATTATCAGGGGGCTCTGCTTATGAAAGCTGCTCAGGGACAGGCTTAGGGTCAGTCCTCGTTTCAAAAATTGATGGTCTTTCTGCCAGAGGGGATTACAGAGCTCTGGAGGGTCTCACGGGGCAATGATGCTCCACATGGAAGTGACGTGAGTCTCTTCTCACATCATTACTAGTCTCATGCACATTTGGCAAAGAGCACTAAGAACTATCACAGAGAAGGGAGTAGGACAAAGTTATGCCTTGTGGGTCCTTTCCCTCCTTTCTTCCTCCTGCCCTTCAGAATCTGAATATCCCTCAAGGCCCTGTTCTTATCTTTTTGATGCTTTCCCTGACTCTCTTCTGTGAGCTTCTATGTAGGGACTAAAAATGAAAGCAAGGGGGAAGAAGACGAGCAGTTTCTGGCAGAAGAATTGTAGAATCTCAGAACCAGGAAGGGATTTTAGAAATCATCTGGTTCAGCCCTTTTCCATTGCAGATGGGGAAGATAAAGCTCAGAGCATTTAAATTGCCGGCTCAAGCTCATAAAGTCAGCTGCTGGCAGAGCTGGAAACAGAACCTGCATCTCTAAGTCCAGTGCTTTCTCTAGTCCAATGACTGGTGCTACCTTTCTTCATTTCTTCTTACAACATTTAGGAGTAATTCTTTTTTTTCCTTTTATTTATTTATGTTTTATTGAAACATAATTGATGGTACATATCAGTGGCGTAAAGTGTTGACTATCAATAGCTGTGTGCAATATGTGATGCTCATATCAGGATAATTAGTATATTCAACATTGCATCCTTTTTTTTCTTTTAAATAAGTCATGATATTTAAATAAAGATATTATTTGGACATGGTACCTTCCCACTGCTACTTAGTGTGACTGTATTGACTGCTGAGCCCAGAGGTACATTTTATGTATCTCTTTTCAGTCATATCCCTTACTGACTGACAGCATATAATTGGTAGAGGTGACAAGTTGCTGACTTATAGGAAATTGCTTGTATGAACTGTTGAACTATGCGCATCTGGTATTGTTAAGTAGTGATGCTGTAGTCATTGTAAGAGAGCACAGGACAATTTTTTTTTTTTCTCACCAGCATTTTTTTTCTCTGAGGAAACCAAATTTAAATGCTCAAATCTGCAAGATTGTCTTTACTTAGCATATTAGGACTTGACTTATAGTCATCCTGATAGCAAAATTGAATATATTTTCAAAGAGAAACACTTAAAATTCCAGATAAAGTTATATTAAAATCACATGTATTTCTGGTTTCCTCTAAGACAATTGTTGTATGAAAAAAGTTCTGGTAGTGCATCTTTTTAGAAAAAAATTATAATTGTTTAGTGGGTAGTTTTAACCAGAGAATAGTTAACATACCCTTTTTATAATGTTATACTATATTATCTTGATATATTTTACAGAATGTCCTGCTTTATATGTATGAAGTAATTTTATTATGTTTCTACAAAATAAAGTAATTTCAGTATGCATTAGATCTATTTTTTTTAAAAACATTTCTGGTTGGTAAGTCAGTTGTTAACTCACAGTAAATCATTTTGACTTTCAAAAGATTTTTTAAACAAGTAAAGCTAAAATGACAAGCCAGAATAGGAAAAGTAAATTCTGAACTACTAATTCAGAAT